AAGGAGACATGTGAGATAGCTACTAGTATAGTGGCAATGAGCAGGTAGAAAGAACCCAGGGTTGGTGGGCACCAGGGTGCCCTTGGTGTGCAGTCTGGGTTTACTTCTCAGTACAAACCATTGTCATCATAATCATTTCCATGCAGGTTAATTCCCCCACACCCCACCCCAGAAATTTTACAAAGACTTGAGTTACCTGTTTATTATGAGGTCATTTTGCTTGCTTGCATTTATTTACTAAATTATTTTGTTTTTATATTTATTACTTATTTTATATCCCAATTTCCTGGGTCAACTTTTGCAGATCTAAATTTTGTCCTGTGTTTTTAAACTTCATGTGTTTTTAAACTTCGTCCATTATATTCATGTCGACTACTTCTGTCATGCTTTCCCATTACAAATTCAATAAAATGTGAGGTTATATGTGTTTTTATGTGAAATGGAAAGTAATTTCCCTCAGATGTTTCTGATTTGTTCTATTGTATCAGAATTGTATTTTTTAAAACCAATCTGAGTTCAATTTTAAAAGGCTAATTAAAAAATGAATCCCAAAGCAATATTTTAAGTATTGCAAGTTCAATTCCTTCCTATTCTCAACCAATTTGGATAACAAGAGAAAGTAAGCAATGGATTCAAAATGCCATCAGGATCAAAAAGTCAACAACAAAACACCCTGCATAGCTATAAAAACAGGTCGTTGTAAAGAAAGTAAGAAAAGAGAAAGTTTCAAGATTCTATGATGATCTGGCTGCACAGCTATTTTCCATTGTTAGCAAATTATATTTATCCAAAGCAATAAAGTGAGCAATAGCAAAATACAGATTTTCACTACTACTTGAATCTAGATCATTACTATGAAACCAGTCTTAAGTCAAAATGTTATAAAGAAGCATTTACCATTAGTTAATATGAAAACATTTTTGAGTGTTTCCAGATCCAAAATATATCCTAGTAAATCATATCAAATAAAATATAAGAACTAAAGTAACACCGAACGTAAGAGTGAGATGACACACAGCTTGTATGAACTAGTTTCCAGGGAAGGAGCTTAACAGAGCTACCTTGTTCAGGGTGTGTATCTCGTCTACAAAAGCAGCTGCAAAACCAACACTATATGCTATTTTCACTTTTTTCCTCTTGTAAAAATGAAAACCTCTTCATATTTCTTTTGATTAGTGAAAACAGGTACTAATATAGATCTTTCATAAAAGTGAAGTAGCTTAACTCAAACTTTCATAAAGAAGGGAATACTTGTATATGATACTTCAGAGACTCCTAATTTCCTCCTTTTGGGATATCTAGTTAAACTTAATTCTGCTTCCTCCTCCAACTGTTAAAGGAAGCTCATTTTTATCCCAAGAAGGTGAGTTTTGGTCACTCAAATTTAAACTTGGTAATTTATTTTCTGTACCAATGGGCAACTGACAAAATCTAACCAATGAGGAATGAGAGAAGTCTGCCTGGGTTAGAGAACCTGTCTTAGAAAAGAGGACCTCACTCATCAAAGGAGGAAATTGCTCTCATTTCTGATAGAACAGACTATGAATGAGGAACAGTACTCTTTTCTGGCCCATGAAATGAACAAATGAAATGTTGAAATGCATTAATCATGCTTGACTAGTATAGGAGAAGTTGAGAACAAAACTCAGCATTCTGAGAATGGCAGGACTGAAGGAAAAAAAGACTGCATTCTTGAGAATGTTGTTGGGTCACAGTATGAACAAACGGACAGCCTTCTTCAGAACGGACAGCCTTCTTCACTTCTAATTACATAAGATGCCAATCATAAGACAGTAAAAGACAAAGAAACAACGCCATAGTTTCAACAACTTTTGATCAGGTTTTCTCTTACTCATAGCCAAAAACATTCTATCTCAGAACCTTCCTGGTGGTGTTGGGGTTAAAAACACAGCGCTGTAAAGCTATCACTAGCCACTACAGCATGAGTTTGAGCCCCAGTCAGGGAGTTTGATCCACATGGCACAGCAGCCCTTTCCATCCTGCCCACTGCTCCCCTCAGCAGTGTATTTCAGTAGGTCAGCTGTTCTGCTCCCCACTCTGTCACTGATGAATCTTCTCAACCCCTGCACCTCTGGCCTGTACCCAGTTCTTGTATGCATAAAAAATTAATCTATTATAAAAAACCTATCTGATACGATGCTCATATAGGGTCTGTGAGTATCTGAGGACCAAAAATATAGGTGAACTCTATCTGCATATGAACATAATATACAAATACATAAATGTATCTGAATCTAGGAGCCAACCTGATGACTCCAGGAATGGAAGGATTCTGTTCAGTCCATTAATTACTAACCATTTATGCTCGGGTGGCTTCTATACAAACTCACTTGGGCAGCATTTTTCATTTGCTCTTTAATCCTTCCATAGCACTTTGATCACTTACTAGAAGGAGACTTAGCCCTTTTTATGATAACTGTCTATATGTCCTTCAACATTGTGAATTATTTGAGTACAAGGGCCATCGCTCTGGAATTTTTATACCTTTAGTGATCAGCAAAGTATCTGAGCTGTATAAAGTACTCAATAATAATGTGATGAATTGGAGAATGAACTTCAGTTAAATTGCATATCGGGTGCATGATAGAAAAGGCCAGCTGAGTCTGCCTTGGGACTGGGAAATGGACTCAATAGGATAAGGGAGTCAGTAAGTACTGAAGATTGGCTCTTCTGGGAAGAACATAGCACAAAGGCAAGAGAAAATTCTATATATTTATGGTCTCACCAGGCAAGAATCTTCCTTGCCTCAAGTCCTTCCCTCACTCTCTACAGCCCATGTATTATGTCTTACCTACAAATAAATCCTGGGTATCTCCAGTGCTACCACCCTGTCCATGCTGCAATCATTGCTCACCTAGAAAAATGTCACCCAACTCTCCTCTATTTTCTATGTAGGGGTTAGAGCTTCATCTTATAATTTTTTATCTTAAAAATGGAAAAAAAAGACCATGTCACATTCATGCAAGGAAAGAGACTCCTTTCTGTGTCCCTTTGTCCTCTCTCTCATGCTTCATTTTTACCCTAACACACTTGACTACCTGAATTACCCATGTGCTTGCCACTGCTCACCACCCCAGGGATTGTAAGGGCTCATGGGAGCTGACTCTTTTTCTTACTGTTCAGAGTCAGACTCCCTGGTCTGGTGACAATACCCACCATGTAGTAGGCAATCTCTTCATCTAGTGAGTTAATAAACTGGCCACTACAAGAACTTACCTCTGAAGAGGCTTTAAATCTCACATGAAAATCCTCTTTCCGACAATAAGAGAAAAATAACAGGGGAATAGTATTTCCTTGAAATTCATACACCCAAGTTTAAACAGACTGTGCTTTTGCACACTGGAGAAAACAAGAAGTGGGGTCATAGCCCCTCAGAGATGGTATTAAATAAACCAGTGCCACCTTCCCAAGTCTGAAGGACCCAGTTTTAAGTCAGGGAAGAGGGTGTTGTGTTACTTGCTATTCCTCCTGTCTTCCTCTGTTAAACATCCCAAGCCTTGGTAGCCCTAAGGGCACTAAAAAAAAAAAAAAAAAAAAAAAAAAAAAAAAAATGGCTCTCCTAATTTTTGCTCTGCCTTAAAACTACCTCTGCTTCTTGGGCCTTCGATGCTAAAATATACGCTCTAAGTTCATGGGTTAAAATATGCGCTCTAAGTTCATTTGCTTCCCCTTTGAACCAAATAATGAAAAGATGTGTATACTAATATGTCCAGTTAACTAAAGCCAATGGTTTATCATTAATTAAAAAAATACCTCCTAGGATGTTACACTTTTGAAGTACAGTATAAAACTACAAAAATATTACTTCACTAAAACAGCTAACTCAGATGTTCCACTTTGTGGTTTCAATTTTCTCTCAGATTGAGACAGCCATCCTCTTTTAGAGGTCACAAATGGAACTGTGAGGACTAAAGGTAAAAATATTTACAAGATATTGATTTACAGCAATGAAAGTGTTAGCATCAAACCGTAAAACAATGATTAATCATTAACTTAAGAAGTCTCCCACTTCTATAAAACATTACTTATGGGAACAGCAGACTCAAGGAAGGCGAGATGTAATAAGATTTGGATTTCTAAGTTCTACTACTTACTAACAATGTTCTAAATTTCTATGTTACAATTTATTCAGTTTTTAAAAAGTCAGCATATCCATACCTCTCTGATTGGATTTTTTTGTGATGACCAAATGAAATAATATAATATACATTAGAAACAAAGCAAAAGTGATTCAGTGCACACCAACCACTACTAAAAATACTAAGACCAGTCAAAAGTGTAGGATATTACTTCTGACTGAGAGGTGTTCCTACCTACAGCTTTAGATATAAGGGAGGCATCAGCAGTAGGAGGTCTTGCTCAGAAAACTTATACACAGGGATTAGCCATCAAGAAATGATAATGTAGGCAGCAAAAGGGAAGTTGTAACACTGATGCTACTATGGCTCTATTACTTTTATATTGATCTCAAGGGAACAATGATTTGGAGTCTAGGAGCACCAGTTCTTGAGTCCCACTAATGGAGTATGAGTTCCAGCTCTGGAGGAACTTAGTAAACACCTTTAGGTCTTTGGTAGCTGTCTCCAAGATGGTGTCGAATGATCTCTACCCCCGGTATTTGTGCCCTGTGTAATGCCCACTTGGACTATGGCAGGGCTGATTATTGTGACTAATAGATTATAGGATACATTATCACACATCACTTTGTTGACTCACTTTGTTGAGTCAACAAAGGCATTGCACTTTGCTATCAGGTTGTTTTGGCAGATCCTTTGTTTCAAGGGAAGTCAGGCACTATAATAACTGGGGACAAGATCACATGACGGGGAGTTGAGGTATCTAGCTGCCAGCCACCTAAGAAAGCTTGGATTTGGGGACCTCCCTGGTGGTGCAATGGGTTAAAGCACAACACTATGAAGCTAGCTGCAGCCACTTCAGCACGAGTTCAATCCCAGCACAACAGATCACTCCTGACCCACCTGCTGCTCCCATCAGCAGTGTATTTTGTCAGTCTTCCTGTTCTGTTCCCCACTCTGTCTCTGGTGAATCCTCTCACCACTCCTGCATCTCTGGCCTGTACCTACATTATGTATGCATAAATAAATAAATCTTAAAAAAATAAAAACAAATACCTTGGATTTGTATCCTCCAACCTTAGTTAGGCTTTCAAATGAAGAAAAACCACTACAAAATCCCTGACCTACAGAAAATGTGGGGTAACAAACAGTTGTTATTTGGAGGGCTATTGACAAGCAACAGTAAATAAAGTTTTAGAATTTCTGTACATCGTCTGTAAAAATGGAGATGAAAACAGTACTACTCTCAAATGAGAAACAAAATAAATTGAAGGCACAGAGTGAGTATATGTGTACACAGGAAGGTCCTGAGAGGCAAGATGCCTAAGATAGAGAAATTTAAGGGACAACCTATTGTTGGCAAAAGCCAAAGTAGTTGGTCTAAAAATGACCAACCCACTGACCTCATGACCACTTGACAGGGTTTGAGAATAGTTAACTGAGATGGCTGGAGTCGACTCAATGCTTTCACAGAACACACTATTTAGAAATTGTCCAAAACTGCCATTCAGACTCATGTCAATGCTTTTAAACCTGGAATAGATCCAGTACTTCCTCAGGCAAACTTCATAGATGTTATCATTTTTTTTTCTCTAATTATTCTTGTCTCCTTCACATTTGGGCTTTCTTTTGTTACAGATGGGTGGGTGAGCAGTTAAATTTACTATGCACTGAAAGAAGTGAAAAAATGTACTGCTAAAGGCAAGAGAAGAACAGAGATATTTTCTGTCCCATAATGAAATTCAGTAATAAAACTGATAAATAACAAAACTCAATAATATAACTATCTGATAAATATTTAAAAACAGCCTATAATACTAATGTAAAGGAAGAAATAAAGATAACAAATACTGAGTAGGAAGGTTTTATTATTACTGATCCATGAAGATTTCTGTAATTCCATTGTAAGTAAAGTGTTTTTATATATTTTACATACTCATGATCCTTTTGGAAAGTGAATGTTTAAATATGCAATATCTTTATATAATAGCATATTTTGGGGATTTAAAACAAAGTACAAGATTTTATATATATATTTATTTATATTTATATTTATATATGTATACGGAAAGAGGTAGACTGGATTTTACTTCTAAAAAAAAGAAGCAATAGTCTCTCTCTCTCTCTCTCTCTCTCTCTCTCTCTCTCTCTCTCTCATGTCTACTTCTGCTAAAGTCAGCATTTCATAAGGAAACACTTGACCTTTTCATAAACCAGTTTCTCAGGAGATGAACTTGGGTTTGCTCATTTTTTTCCTGTCCTTTTGGTTATTCATTTCTCTGCTTTCCACATAATTTAGTACTTGGTTTTGTTTTCTTTCCCAATATACTCCTTCTCCACCCCCCGTTTATTCCTCCATTCTTCCTTACTTTTTTTTTCTTCCTTCTTTTCCTCTCCATTTTGTAATACCTCTCTTCCACTTCTATCCTTCTCTTCCTTCCCAATATCTGTTTGACTATAAATTTAGACTGACAATCCAGAGGACAGTTACTGAGTGATGACTCTAAATTCTTTGTAAGAATATTCTTTCCTGGGGCCCTCCCTGATGGCACAGTGGGTTAAAGCGCAGCACTATGAATCCCAGCTGCTTCAGCAAGAGTTTGATCCCTGCTCAGGGAGCTGACCCACTTGGTACAGCAGACCTCTCCTGACCTGGCTGCTGCTCCCCTCAGCACACTTTGTCAACCTGTCTGTTCTGCTCCCCGCTCTGTCTTTGGTGAATCCTTATCACCACTCCTGCACCTCTGGCCTGTACCCGAATTCTTGTATGTATAAATAAATAAATCTTTATTTTAAAAAATGTTCTTTACTGTGGCATAGGTTTTAGGAATGGTTTGCCGATTTAGTGAAAAAGTTGTATGCCTGTGTTCTCATTTCTGTCCTTTATAATAAGGTAGAAATGGAAACAAGATGATTTTCATTTTCTCATCTAGAGTACATACATGGCAATCAGGAAACAGGAAAGGAGAAATAACTGAAGTGGCAGTGTGAATAAAGCACACAATGAAACCACATCTTTACCCATTTGCCCAAGAGGAGTCCTTAGTCACACTCCCCCTTACTTCCTGTTTCCAATTACCAAAGTCTGATCATTCACATTTCTGAGTATTTCTAGAACCTCCAAATTCTGCTGGAGCCATCAGTCTCCTGGGAGGCTTCTCTTCATTCCTCCTCCTCATGTCCTGCCCCACTTCAACCACCTTTCCACTCTCAAATATTCAGAGGGCTCAAATGCTCCAGGTGTTTACCATCATGGACAGGTTAACATCAAATGCCTTTCCTGCCCCCTTTCTCATTTTGAGTCCTTTTATAACCTCAGACCAGAGGACATGATCTTTTGTCTCTGTGTGTTGACACAGAAGTATTCACACTTTCTGAAACACCTATTTCCTAAAAGGGATGCTAACTCTTCAGCCTTCCCCGCAAAAGAAACCTTTGGTGAGAAATCTTCCATGACTGTCCTAGAAGTGATCCTTCTCACCCCATGGAAGTTGCTCAATTATCTCTAAATTATCTTACAGAATATAATAGTACTAAATGAAGGCATGTGGAGTCCCCATCAAGAGGAAATATTTCTCACATTTCATTTGGAGAAGAGCCTAGGTGCTATTGAAGAGGAATGTCAAGATGATTCCTTGTACTCTGTATGTCCCACCCAGCAAAACAAGCCCTTCCATTGACTGAACCCCGTGGAAGGCAGCTTTGGACCTTGACCTCTTTGTTGTTCACTTCATGGCACTTATCAATTTTGCCCATCTTTTCATTGGTGCCTCAGGGATGTTCTGGGGCAAACTATCCAGACTACTCTGGATAATTTGCAATATTTGTTTCCTTCTAGACTATAATAAAGGTCAAGGACCTTTACATTTTGTAAAATTTTGTCTTTGTAATTCCAGCAACTAGCATAGTGCCTGAAAATTATTGTGTGCCAAATGATTATTATTGTATGGATGCATGACCCATCCTTTTCTTTTTTCTTTTCCACAGCAAGTTTATGTATGTGTGTGTGTGTATATATATATACACACACACACACACACATAGTGTTTATATATATATATTTATATTTATAAGTTTATATATATATAGTGGCATATATATAGATATTTATATATATATATATATATATATATATATATATATATATATATAGTGGTTTAAATATGCCAAGTAATACTTTGCAAAAACAGTTATAATCTAATAGTCATAAAAAAGTGTAAACATACAATGGACTGAGGCTTCCCACTTAATAGTCTAAAACAGTGATGCCCATGACTTCTTTAAGTAGAATCATTATTAGTAGGGTAGAACACTGAGTAATTTAACCTTTGACACTTAGAACTGCAGGGCAAATACAGTTTTCAATAGCTCTACAATCTAATTCTGAACTGTCACTTTGATCTCTGGAAAGGACCCTTTGAGGGAGTTCCCTCAACCCCCCCCCCCCACACACACACACACACATTCCTTGGCTGACTGAGCCATCCAAAAATGTGCTTCATTTGGCTGACTGGAGTATGTAATACTGTAATAAAAGTAAATGTTTAAAAGGAAGCAAGGCTGTGTCCAGCACAAGTGTAGTCCACTATTCTGTGAATGTCCTATAGTAAGAGTTACGGCTACCCTGGAGCAATCAGAGCAAGGAAAAGAAATAAAGGTAGCTTTAAATAAAATGATTCCCCAAAGCATCACTGATCCCAGTTACCCTGCCCCCCCCATAACCTCACTTTATGCTTTAGCTCTGCAATACTTCCATTAAGTGATAGTTATTTACTGCATTACAGCTTCCCAATTGATGAATTTCTCCCTACCCTGAAGTTAAAAATGTGGGTGCCCTGCGCACTGTCTTTTCTCAAAACTACTTTGGGACTTTCTTATTTTTCCTTCCTTTGGGATATCTGCACTGCTTTTCTAGATCTTTAGAAACTACCTCCTTTCTTTTGAGGTTCATAACCACAAACTTTTTGATTCATTTAAACGAAAAACTGATTTAACAATTCTGAAACTGTCCCCTAATTTCAGGAAGTATTTATTGGTTATTCATAACAAAATGTGGCCGCTGCAAGGCTCGCAGCTTAAGCACTAGAGCCCTAGAAAAGTGCACGCTCCTGCTACAGTAGAAGCAGCAACAATGCCAGGAAGCCTCGGCTACAACCTGGTGCACAGTCCAAATTCGCAGCAAAATCCCTCGATCTCCTCAGTGTGGTAAAACAGAACCTGACTATGGTCTCCAACCGCCTTATCTGTTTTCAAATGTTTCAAACTTACTATTTTTATTTTGGTTCACCAGAACCACCGGCACGGTGATGACGGTGACGAGCGCGGCGACGCCCAGCAGTCCCAGGAGCACCTTCCATAGTGTCTGCAAGCAGGCAGGTCAAGTCCAGTTAGTAGGAGTCGCTTGGCCCCATTCTAGGGGTGAGGGCTGAGCCTGGGCTGCATCGGAGGCAGCGGCGATTGCCGAAGGGCGCACGCACCGGGAGGAGAGTTCTGAGGGGTGGGAGGGTTTGGAATACGCCAGTCGGAGGTTGCAAGAGAGTTTGCCCTTGAACTCGTAGCCTGTGAACGCATTAGTACTTGCTTCTTTGAAACCCGTGTTTGTCCGAGACCAAGTGACGGTTCTGGGCGTGCGTTTTGTGTGGGGTCTCGGGTCCTCCAAACTCGGCGCCTGGTTTCTAACAGAAACCCCGCGGGTCTGAGAGTGAGCTCAGAAATTCTGAGACGTCCCTTCACCTGTCAGAGGGTGGCCCCAGAGTTGCTGCCGGGTGAGAGCTCCTGATCCCGCTAGCGAGAGCGTTTGGGACGCTTTAGGGAAAGTTGGGTTAGAGCAAACTACAATGGACCCTGGGGCTGGGGTAGTGGGAGGCGCGCTACTCACCTTCATGGTTGGCTTCTCCTCGGAACTGAGTTTTCAGAGCGGGAGCGCGGCAGAACTCAGGCGAGTCACCGAGTCGCGCGTCCAGCTCTGCCCTCTGGGCCGCCGAGTCCTGGAAGCTCCTAAGTTTGGCCTCTAGTTAAACATTAGTGCGCGTCCTGCCCGCTCGGTATAAAGGGCCGCGGGCAGGCTGCCGGGCTGGCAGCGCTGGAGAAGGTGCTCAGAGCGCCCGGCAGTGGTATTCCGGCCGGAGGGCGCCCTAGAGGCGCCTCCCCCTGGGTATGCAGGACGTGGGGCCGCAGCCGGGGTGCGAAGGGTGTGGGGCCCCTGGGGACGCTTGTGAAGTAGGCGGGGGGCCGGGCGAACCTGCACCCGGCAGGATGCCTAGACTGGAGGTCTGCGAGGACCAGCTGAGATCCCGAAATCTTGCGTTGAAAGACAAGAGAACTGAGCCCAGAGAGGGCACTGAGCTCTGCAGTGTCACACAGCTCAAACGTAACTTACAAACGTAAGTTAAAACGTAAGGTTCAGTCTTTTGCCAGTAGAAGATATGTGGGGATTGAAGGTGCCTAAAGCTACCTGGATAGGAAGAGAGAGCGAGCGAACAAGTGTTTGTTTACTTTTGAGTAACTCTGAAGGACTAAAGTATATGGATTCATCCTCCACAAGGAATTTCTGACTTGTCTTGCAGGCGTGCAGCAGTCTCATCAAGATGCCAAAAATAACACTGACGCTTACCAGGAACTTACTTTTTCCCATGGGTTGCTCCAAACATTACTGGGAAACACTAGGGGGAGGAAGCTTAGGTACAAAGAGATTAAGTAATTGTCCAAGTCACACATCTAGGAAGTTCTGCAGCCTGAATTCAGGGTCCATAGTCTTAGCCACTATTTCACTTTCATCTTACAGTCTTACAAAGAGGATCCGGAGAAGAGAAACAGGCAGATGTGGCTTCTTTCTTTCCCCAGTTCCCCTTATGCCCTCTCATTCATTCATTCTCAAATCTGCCAAGTATTCCACCTATTCCATAAATAGAATGTGTCACTATTTTCTATGTGGTAGAGGTAGAGCAGTAAAGGGGTCTGTACACTGGATATCTTCGGTATAAAACAAACAGTAAATAGTTGGTGTTTAGTCCTTGTATAATTACTTCTTGAAGATAAGTATGCCATCTCCTGAAAGGTCTTTTATTTTGGTCTCTGAAGAGCTAAGCCTCTCTGTCCATAGTTAGAGGTAAATAAAAATGCAAAGTCAGGAGAAAGAGTAAAAATTTAAAAATGCAAAGTTTAATTCACATGATTGTAAATAAGTGCATTTCCATCCTTTATCTCTCATCTAGATTTTGCTTCTGAACTTAGGGGTCTTTTCCCACATGCCTGATAGTCACTTTTGTTATACACATATAACTCACCCCTACCTCACCCCAGAGACTCAAACTGAACTCTTTATCTCCTTCCTCAACCTTGCCTCGCTCTTCCTAGGTCATCTCTACCTTTATCAAAAGTGTCCCATTCACCATTAACAAAAACAAAAACCTTGTTATCTCAATTTTTCTTCTCCGTTCACCTACGACATTTATTTGGTAATCAATTTCTCTGAGGTCTTCCTTAATATTGTTTCTCAGATTCATTCCCTCCTCCTTCTTACTGCTGGAGAAAGCATGTCAATGTTACTGAAGACCATGAGCTGTAACTATGAAGAGAAGCCATGTAACAAGCACTAAGGATATGGTGCCACATTGGGGAGCTCAATATTTTTGTTCTCTGTGCTCCCCAGATTACACACTGAGCTATGGAGAAGGAAAGCTGCATAGTCACATCAGCCCTGGGAAGGGAAGTCCTACCCATGACCCTGTGTTTAACCTCCATGCATGCGTGGAATTGCACCTCCAAAGCCCTGTATAATTAGGGGAAGGGTAGCTGACACCCTGAGGTCTGATCACCATATTCTTATTCTCTGGAAGAACAGAGAACAAGTATCTTCACACTGTGGCCAACTCAAGGGATTCTTTCACATATCTCTCCCTCCCTGATCCATTCATCTCAATTTTTCAATCGTGGCTTTGCCAAGTCCCTGAGGTACCAGCTGGTCAACACATTAGCCACAACCTATGAGTCAGTGTAGATGTTATATCAGGCCATCTCTCTTTCCATGCAAAATGGAAAAACAGATGTGTTGCTCAACTGTCTGTTAGGAAGATTTCTCTTTGACTTTATTTCAGGACATTTTGAGAGGGGTTATGAAAGGGCATCCCTTCACAAATGACAGGTGATAGCTTACTTTGCAAAAGACCAACTCTTTCCCTTGCTGTGGCCTGGTTATAGGGAATGCCTCGGGAAGCAACTGATGTGTATTGAGGGAGAAACACTGAAGCAGTAGCAGAAGATTTAATTTTTCTACTCATCCAATTTTCTACTGCCTTTTCAATCACTTGGCTCATCTCCTACATCTTAAAGATACCATTTGCGTAATAATAGGAGGTCACTGAACATGCCCAACTTTATCATTTAGGGGATCTGATAACAACCAGTTCAATGTGGGTAGTTCAGGTTGTATAGTTCTTTGGTGTTATGGGTTGGACTGTGTCCCCTCCAAAAAAAAGATAAGTTGGCACTAGCCCCCAGTGTGTCAAAAGTAACCTTATTTGTAAGTGGACTCTAATGTAATATGACTAATGTTTATATATATAAAGGGGAAATTTTAACACAGAGATAGAGGTGCACAAACAAATGATGTGAAGTGACACCAAGAGAAGATGGTCACCTACAAGCCAAGGAGAGAGGCCAAAACAAATCATTCCTTTACAGCTTTTGAAAGAAACCATGTCTGCCAATCCCTTGATTCTCTTTTTCTGGCCTCCAAAGAAGATAAACTTCCTTTGTTTAAGCCACCCAACTTATGGTACTTTGCTCAAGTAAACTAATTTACTTGGACTTCCATGATCATTCTTCCACATCTCAACAGGAGCCTGAAGAAAACAAGAAGCTGGTTTTTATGGAGAGAATAGCAGTCAGTATTCTAGTTAAGCCCCAAAGTTTTGGCATATGTTGCTATTCATCAGTAGATAAGTAAATACATTGACAAAAAGAGTGTGGCTTTCTTCTAAACTCCCTAAGCATAGTAGCTTCTGCGACTGTCCTTTTGGGGGTTGCCAAAAGTTCTTTACAGCTTCTCTGGCTGTCACAGATTTTTCTAATAGTTTTGGTGTATGCTGTCTTGAAAGAGCTCTGTGTCAGGGCAGCTTGCTCTACAAATTGGATCTGCAGACCCCTCTCTTGCACCAGGCTCCTTTTCTTTTTTGAAAGACTTATTTATTTATTTATGCATGCAGAACTGGGGTATAGGCCAGAGGTGTGGAGAGTGAGAGGATTCACTAGAGACAGAGCTGGGAGCAGAAGAGGCCGACTGACAAAGTACACTGCTGAGGGGAGCAATGGGCCGGTCAGGAGAGACCAGCTGCACCATGGGGGTCACCTCCCTGACTGGGGATCGAACTCATGCTACAGTGCTGTGGATAGCTTCACAGTGTTGCACCTTACCCGTTGTTACTCCAGGATCCTTTTAAAACCTTATAAGCTACTAAGCAAATGCGTTGAAAGGCTTGAAAGGCATACACAGTTTGTGAATAAAACCAGTAGCTAAAGCTAAAGACTATTATAAGTGGTTCCCCACTCTGGAAGGGGCTGCTGGTGAAGATGGATAGCCCCAGGGACAATATGAACAATGTATTGTTGGTGGGTAGAAACTCTGATTTAAAAATATATATATATATAAGGTAATGTAAAAATGGCCCCCAGGATCAGCTTTCAGGATTTCAGATTTTTAGACCTTCAGCAATTCTGAGGTCAATAATTTCTGCTCTACCATGCTGATCTTCCAGAAGGCTGATGTGGGCCTCTGAGGACTTGGAGAGGCTTCCAGCAGCCAACCTCAGAGAAGGAAATTTCGAGGCTTTGCAAGTAGCTCAGCAACTGAAATCGTTGGTAGTTTTGCTGCTGTTCCAGCCTGAAAGGGAAGACAAAGATGCAGAGCTGGGTGCCTCAGTTGTATGAGTGTGGCACTTGTTGTCCCTCATTTGTTAAATAAATGTTAGTGGCCCTTGGTGCCCTGTATCAGGAAAAAGGTGTCTCCAAAATGTTCTGGCAGACATTGTTCTTCCTTGTGGTGGGCATAACAAATCTAATAATTTATGATTCACTTTAGAGTGGTCTGATGTACTCCAAATGACTGAAGTTTGGGAAGTTCGCAGAATTTTCATGGGGTTTATCAAATATTTTGTAATCACATTTATCTGATAGAAGCACATTTCTTATTGTTCTCCAGTTCCAATTAAGATAATTTCTCCAACACCAAGGATCAATTTGCAGTTCTATGGGATAGCGAAAAAAGATTGAGGTTCCCAAAGTCTGGCTATAATGACAAAGACCAAGGTAATTAGCATAGCCTTGAAATATAATGATAAAAATACATTGCTCTCCTTCTAAGTAAGGCAAGCTCTTTAAGTTAGTAGCCTCTGGTATTAGTACTATATTATTTAATCTAGTCAAATGATAACAGAGATCAATCCATAGTCATTTTTCTGAATCTATCTTATTTTTACACATAGGGAAAGTCAACTGATTATAAGAGAAGAAATCAATACTCATGCATTTTTCAGTCTTGATTAGTGATATTAATCAAGTATTACTTTTGATTTATCATATGGATATGGAATGACAGTTTCAAGTATCCTGTTGTTACATGAGCTATCACTGCTGCAGGTCACACTCTCTGATTACCATGTTTTCTTGCAGCTATTTGTGGTAACAGCCACTGTTAAGAGCCTGAAATTTGGAGGTAGGGGTCACCTCCAGTGAGTTGCTCTGGAGTGACATAGGAATTCAGTGAATTTTAGCACAAAGTAGATTAAAGAGCAAAAGAAAGAAATACTTTCATCAAATTCTTGTACTTCTCATCACTAACTTGCTGGTATCTCCATTGGCTGAACCCAGCTAAAAACAGAGGGCAAA